TAATTGAGTATTCAGAATAAAATAGAAATTGGATTCCAATTTAAAAAATTAATGTTGATTGTAGGGGATTTAGATTATGCTTTATCAACAATACTCTATTCACATTTTAACCTTGTGATGGTAATTCAATGCATGTCTATGAGATGAATAGTTTAAGTAAATAATTCACTAAAACTAAAGATATTATTGTCAATCAAGGTAGTTATGGTGCTATATTGTTTCCATAATAATATATTAAATCAAAATAATTACTATTGAATAAGCATGATAAATATATCAATATTATAAGAATGACACAAAATGGATAATTTAAACTTGAGTAATCTATTCAATTTGGAACAACTAGTATATTTGGATCATTAAGTGAAGATGGAGACTATTTGATAACTTGGGATAAGATATCAAAAGAAATATAAATTAGAAAATACACAGAACAATGATAATTTATAAATACAAATTATATTTTATTATTTAGAAATATTTCAAGAAATTTAATCAAAATTCCATAAATTTTTGTTTCAGTTTATAGAAAAACATCAAAATCAACTATCAAAATGAAACAAATTTGTATCAGATATTACTCAATACGAACAAATTATAGACATGATAAATAATCCTTTTAAGGTAGTTATCAAATTACTTCCTTACAAGTTAATTAAAATTAAAAGCAAAATTAATATTAAAAAAATTCGTAACAAATATTGCCGTTACAAATACATATTTTATGCGATTTCAATATAGAATAATTATCAAAACTCTCTATTCTTACCACCATTTTTGCTCTCTATAAGAATTACATAATTTTAATTTCAATTATTCTAAATCAAGTTCAGTCATTAATTCATCTTTCCTTCAAAAGTTGACATCAAAACAATTTATGCTATTCTTATAATTACAAAAGATACTTCTAACTTTCCACTTTTTGATAATAATTTACTCAATATTCTGTAAAATAACCAACTTTAATTTATATTATGACTAAGAGAGATAAATGATGAATGCGTTTATACATTATGCTATTTAGAAATTTTAGAACTCTTAAGAAAAATATTGATTAAAAAACTCCTTTATCTATAAAATAGTAGATTTTTATTTTTACTATAAGACTAACAAAGTACAATGAGTAATTGAAATCATTTCTTATCCAAAATCTAATCTAATGCATCCAAAATATTTCCAAAATGGAACAAATTCTCTTATTGAAATATAAAATTGTTCTGTCTTCTGGCATAATATTATAAATAACAACTTTTCATGTAATTAGTGCACAATTAACCATTATCGATGTTATGATTTTCATAACCTTAATAACCTGACCATTTATTCTTTAGCCTTTATTTGAATTTCTTTCCAAAAAACAAAATCGAAAGTCATATTTTTCACTTTGATAAAAATCTACAATGCTAATTTTTCAATTTCTCAAAAAACTAAATATATATATATAGATTTGCATTTTTTCTTTATCGTTTAATAATATTATGATGTAGTGTATATAACCCTTATCATTATATTAAATCCTTCTTCAGTTAACTATTCGTTATCAAGAAAAACAATCAAATTCATAATTGCCTTGGGAATGGTCATTATGACTAAATCTCTCACCTCTTTGTTAAAGTTTGGCACCTTTTTCCACTTTATACAATTCCAATAAGTAAGGAAATGCTCTCGACTTAGTTTTATATAGTTGTGAAAACCATGACTTAAGCCAATTTTAAAACTCTTTGGATTGCCAAGGTTCCACAGAAATTTCACTCAAAAGTAAATTCCTTATAAAAGCAAGAGATCGCAACTATTTTGACTAAGCATTCTTTAAAAACAGTGAGCTTTGTCCCCAATAACATGTTGTATACAATAAGCCATATGAGAAATCTCTTTTCCCTTTGGCTCATTAAGGGTCATTGATAACTTCGCTATATGTCTGGATAGATTAGCTGGTTTCTAGCTCAGTGCCAATTCATACATTTTGAGCTTGCCTTATATAAGATCCTTGTAACTGAAGTTGTTATTTGATTTCTCTAATATTACAAGCCATGCAACTAATTAATCCTGATCAGAGCAATATCTATAACAATTACAAGACTTTAGATTGGCAATCTTATACAGCCTAAAAATAAGGATAGATTAAGGAGCAATAGTACCTTGTATATCTGCAAATAGGAGCAGTACGAATTAGGTCAAAAATTATAACACAAAACCACTAAATGTAAATACCGCAGATTATTTTATTAGTGAGGCGTATTTGATAATTCTTTTTTCCGACAATTAATTTAAACTCACAATTGGTTACACTCCAAAAACCAAGGCAACTAGTATATTTTATATTACACTTGAATTTTTTAATTCATTTAGGGATTTTGGTTGATAGGATCTCTATTTAATTGTAGAATTATTTAACAATGCGACCATTATGGCTGAACCATTTTTGTAATGATAAAAGGATCTTATGACTCCTTTTTCATCAACCTGCCCATTGATAATACATACTAATGACTTAAAAGGAAGAAACTATTTATCAATTTTCATATTTTAATTGATGTTCTAGAGAAAAAATTTTTCCCTTTCAAATAAGCCATTTGGAGCCAATGCTCAAGATTCTATTGCATTTGACGGCAAGTGTAAATCTTCTCACCTCCTTTCAAATGTAATTTTATTTGTGCACCAAACCATCCTATTTTGCTTTTGTTATTTCAATATACAGAATTTAACCACTAATGATATGCAGCGTTAAACTTCTTTGATAATAATGGCTAATTACACATTTCAGTATTAATATATATAAAAGCATAGTCCATTATACTTTAAGTCTACTTGAAGCCGCAGACTAAAAGCAGCGATTTGTGTTCATTTTGTGGGGATTGTTAGACTCTTTGAACTATTCATTAAATAGTGATGCAATTCATTTGAGAAAATAATTCTCCCTAGCAGATGTTCAAATAATTTTTCAGCTTATTCTATTTTAATTTAAGACTCCGATTTGTTATCTACATCTTGCAAAAAATAATATTCTTACACACTTGTCTCACATCTTTGTAACAGCTTGTAATAAACAATGATGTCTGTTAAGAATGTAATTTTAAAAACTAATTTGGTATTTATTAAGCTAATTGTACAATTAATTGGAATTATATCTCTTAGGGCAACTAATATAGTTTAGTTTGCTACCTTCATTTGATCTTGTGATCCTTCTTGTAGATCTCTTTTCATCCACCATCAGCTTCCCTCTTGCAGTCAATGTTTAAGTTAATGCTAACATTTACTGTATTTTGGAACGCTTCTTACTTTTACATTATATTTTTTCTTTCTAATAGAACCATGTTTCTTTAGATGCGTGATGCGACAACAGCCGTTTTATTGTAATCTCTATATTGATATTTAATATACTTTATAAATTTTCCCATTTCTTAATATGCACAATCTTGAGAGTTTTGCTCTTACTATGAGGCATTTACTTTATGCGTTAAGAATACTTCACATAAGGTTATTGTCCAAATTATGTAACTTGCTAGGCTTAAAATGTGATTTTGGGCTTTATTAAGACAGCAACTTCATGGTTCAAGCGTCTATATGATAACAATGCAAACAAAATTTTTGCTCTTTTTTTACCCTTTCCGAGCTATCAGACTAAATCTCTTAACCAGTGGACTATATGTATTGCTACTAAATTGTTGACTTCCACAATACCCAGCACAACAATTGCATCTAGAGTTAGATGCCGTAAAAATTTATCCTAATTAAAGCAGCGAGTTATCAATATTAAAAAAGTGATGAGTATATCGTTAATTTTAAGTTGTATGATACAATTTTTATCACTGATACATTATCCAATAGTGGCGCATTCCAATCGCAACAAAATGTGAGACTTGTGTAACTGCAATTCTTATCTCTTAATTAATTCCCTTTTTATTAAACCTTTTTTGATGGAAATTGCATTTTTTGGACAAAATACTTGTTCTCAAAACTTTTTTGCATTTATTATTAATAATAAGTTAGTAATTGAATACTCCAGTTCTTCTTGGTGAATATATGAAACTCTCTTAATTACAAGACAATTAATTTTGCTCAATAATTAAATCTTAATAATCTCCAATACATATTTAGAATATTTAAGATAACCAAATTGAAATGTCTTAAAGGTTTTAGAAGCCTCATTTACTCCGTCAAGTTTTCTGCAGCGGAAGCGAACTTTAATCCATTTGCAAATGGTATAGTTATTATTACAAGGACTATAAATTATTATTTGATGAACTTTAATAATAAGATATAAATGCATCAGAAGGTTAACTAAAATTTGGGCACTATTCCACATGCTGTATGCGGAAACATTACCTATCAAAGAACAGCAATCAAAATTGTATTTGTAAAACAGTCTAAACATGTTATAAGTTGTTAATAAATTCATACACATGAAGTACTTTATTATATTACAACTAAAGATAGTCACATTTTGTTCTGTTTCTCTAAGCAATTCCAATAATTATATAATTATGTTGCTGGATAATGATACTTAAGCCTAATCAGCTTGCACCCACCTTCACCTTGTTTGCCAATAAAGCCAAAACTTATTATGATCATCTACCTTCATAATGGATTTATTAAATTTATCCAACATCGATTAATGCTGAGCTAACTTTTGCCTAATATACTTCTTGTTTAGATACTAGTCAAACTGTCCAGATATTTGACATCTGATATTACCTAAACAATCAGTTGCTATTATTTTAAGGTGAAGCCAAGAGGAAATTGTAGGTCTTATGATATCTCATAAAATTTTAATTAGAGAGATTCCAATTCTTGCTGTTTAGACTCTGACTCAGATTTCCGTGTTATTACAATGCGTTTGTATAAATAGTAGATGCCATTGCCACAAGAAAACTTTTCGTTGCTGAATTTAAAATATTATTATTTAAGAATAGATATGCATCAGCTTTTGAATTGAACGCAGCCATTAACGTTAAGGGATTCATATTTAGATTGCTTCAATTACTACTAGGAAAGCAGATATTACTAAATCAATTTAAACGGTTAATTTTAAATCATCTGAGCTTAAATCTACTATGCCTCAAAAATTGTATTAGATATAGGAGTTGCTAGACCATTCACATTATGTATCTGTCGAGAGATGAAGTGCAATCTGTTATGAGAAGCCGAATTCCGAACTACAATATTAATAGGGTTTGGCTTCTATCAAATATTTACACTCTTCTTATAAAGAGTACTTTAAAATTAACCACCTGAACATTACCGTCTTATAGCTTAAGTAGAGGAGCCTTAAACATGTAATTCTCTAACTATTTCCCAATTACTTAGCAGCACTGCATATCTGCATTTAATGTCCAAATCGTTTCATAAGTTCTACTTTTTACTAATGTTTAAATGTTTCGAGATCAATGCATTAGCAGTAATAGTTATATTTCTTTAGTCATAGCAAATAATATTTTAGTTAAAATTCTGACCCTCCTCCATCTCACTACCTCAACAATTACTAGCAACCATCATAAAGTTGATGCAAGGAAGAGAACATTAGCTAATAAGCGGAGAATTTAAATTAGACTGTAATTATAAAATGATGAGATTGTTAACAACATCACCTACTAACAGCATAATATGCATCAACTAAGATGTTTATAAACTCCAAAAGGAATCATTCTTAAGTGTCACGTATTAGATTTATTCAAAAATATTCTTTTACTCTTTAAACTTTATTGTATGCTGTAATTTTGGTTTTGTTCTGTCAATGTATTTGAGTCCTGGATTAGTCGAACTAATTCCAAAGGTAGAAAAGCATAGCTTAGATCATACATAAACTTTAGTTCTTAGGGTTCAACTTTGACGGAATTGTCTCAATCAATTATTCATAGAACTCTTCAACCATTTAAACCAAATGTTTCTAGAACTTCAGTAAGGTTGTACCCCTTTAACTCAACCATCAAAGAGGAAAAATCATCATGCTTAATTATAGAGTCACAACCACTTTTTATAATTTTGAATGAGCTAAGACAGGTCTTATATTGTAGATTTCAATCATCCTTAAAAGGATAATAACTACAAGTCTCAGTTGCAAAAAGCAATCAAAAGAATTCTTTTAAATTACACTGGCAATAATTAAGTGATGCGAGAACTCTACATATAAGAGGAACGCATCTATTTATAGTTATTTATAATGCATTTTCCTGATTAAATTTTGGTCAAAAAGTTCATACCATAATATCATAATCCTAACATTTGTATTCTTGTTTAATATTCATTGCTGCTCAAATTCTTGATCTTCGCAAATTGTTTCTACTCACTTGACGTTCTAAATTTACAGTAAAATGTGAGGGTTTTTACATCAATAAATTATATAAGGATTCGAATGGTGTTAACAATCTCCAATGTTTACAAATTTGTTATTATCATTTTCCAATCATTTTAGTGACCTTCTCAATTTTCACCAACCTTTAGAAATTAATCTTTTCCTTGCTTTATTGTTGTTGCCTTTTGAAGGACTCTATTTATTCATTTGTGAAAAATAGGGGATACTTTATTTCTGTAAAAAGATCCTTCAACTTACAACCTTTTCAAATATTATGTAATAAAATGTTATAGTTAAAAGACTTGAATTTATATGTTAAATTGCCAGAAGCTTTGATTAATATAAAGTAAAATCCAAATGAATTTAGCAGGATTATAGTTATAGTAAATATTCAACAAAAATTATCAGCAGGCTCAAAATGCTACTTGACTTAAGATTCTTGATTTATCTCTGATTTAAATGAATTACCAAACTTTGTTATCTAATATGGACACCAACTTTTGCAAATAATAGATGAACCAAGTGAATACTAATTTAATTCAAATCAGATTTGAAATATAATCAATAATCCAAAAATTCGAAATGGTTTATAATTGAAAGGAAAATGTTTTATTGAATCTTGCGCTCAAGAGGTACTTTTTTTTACAAAATTAAAATACTCAAAGTAATTCTGAATGATTTTTTTAAGCTTAGAAAGCTAGAACAAATCGTTAGAATTGAACTAAAGTTTTTCAAATTTTAACCTATGGAAGAATATCAATTAATTAGGATGTTAAATCGAAAGATTCACAACCTATTATATCTAATGTACTCATTGTGAGATTCAAGCGAAACAAAGAAGATAAATTGTAAAAATAAATTAATTTCGCTGTGGTTTGTAAAATATTAAATAATTAGCTATCATAAACAAAGAATATAAAAGAAAGTAAATTAAAAGTTCTATTTTAATGCAAACATTGTAGATATTTATTATTATTATTATGCCTGTGAATAACATCATCGTCTTTAACAATTACTTTTAATAGAAATAGGATAATAAAATCAGAACATAAATTTCTAAATTAGATTTATAAAATAAATAAATGGGATAGCAAGGGAATTAAAAGTTAAAATGTTAGCAAGATGATCATTAGGATGATATAGAAACGATTTGCTATAATTAATTTTGTCAAGACTTCAGATTAAATTGTTTTAAATGTAATAAGAGAAAAATCCATCTTGATCATTCGAATGATGTTGAAAAAATCAATAGTTTGATTGGATTTATTGAAAATACGAATAAAGTATGTGATAATTTGATTGATGATCTTAATTCATATGTAGAAAATCTAAATCAATCATTTTCTTAATTAAAAAGAGGAATCAGATTAAAATATTCAATACAAAAAGAAAGATTAATAAATTTAAGCTCAAAGCAATTACATGACTATTTGAATTCAACCATAACACTAATTGAATATAAACAATCAGTGAAATAAATCATTTCTGCTTAGGCTAAGAAATTGACTCATACATTTAATAATTTATATGAATAATTATAATTATTGTCATTTAATTATTATTAGGTTGATAGTAGTTCAATAAAATTATCAGAAGATTTATATGATAAAGGTAATTTTGTATTATAATTTTTAGGTTTTGATTTATTTTTGAAAACTAATTATTCAGAGGCAATAGATATTTTAGATATGTCAATTCAATTTAATCCTAAGAACTACTTATCTCTGGGGTGCAAAGGTGAATATTATAGTAAAATTAATAGGTGCGTGCTTACGAAAGTTAAATAAGTATGAGGATGCAATAAGTTGGCTCAATAAAATATTATCTATTAATCCTAAGCATATTTTTTCCATATTGGAAAAAGGTTGATTGAATGATAATTAAATTAATAGGTAAATGTTTAAGATTGTTAAATCAATATGAGGATGCAATCATTTGGTTAGATTAAGCATTAGCAATTGATCCTAAGCATGTTTTTTCCTTATCCTAAAAAGGTTGATCGATTAATACATTAATAGGAGAATGTTTAAGAATGTTAAAAAAATATGAGGAGGCAATTTTTTGGCTGGATCAAGCATTAGCTATTGATCCGAAGGATGTTTTTTCATTATCCGAAAAAGGTTGATTGACTCATAATTAAATTAATAGGTGCATGCTTACGATAGTTAAATAAGTATGAGGATGCAATCTGTTGGCTAGATCAAGCATTAGCAATTAATCCTAAGCATGTTTTCGCTATAAAAATCAAAGGTATATTGAATCTTAATATTTAATAGAATTTTGCAAGTAGGAATTGAGTTAATGAATTTATTTTAATTAATAAAATTAATAATGCCATTACGGTCTAATAGTTAATTATTGCTCAGTGTGCAGATCATATCCTTTTACTTATTCCTTTCTATGCACACCATATTATTAATAATAGAAAGAATGAATTAATATTCTGAGAAAAAGTCTCAGAAAATAAATATATATATGAGAGTAAAATCTTCAATTTTAGTTGTAATTTCAATATAAAAATTTCTCAATATATATATGTTTCAGAAGGTTTTATATATATAAAGACTTCTGCTTCTCTAGTAGAGCAGATTAGAAGAATTTAGAAATCTACCTAGAGAAATTGCTGAGGACTGAAAAGGACATTCTCAAACTTATTGCATGAGATTAGAAAAAGCTATCATACATGTGCACAGTATTTTCGAGAC